TCCTTCTTTCCTACTTTCCTTCTTTCTTTCCTTCTCTCCCTCTTCTTCCTTCTCTCTTTCCCTCCCTCCCTCCTTCCTTCCTCTCCTTCCCCTCTTTCCCAGCTCCTTCCTTCCTTCTTTCCTACTTTCCTTCCTTCTCTCCCTCCCTCCTCCCTCTTCTTCCCTCCCTCTCTCTCTCCCTCCCTCCCTCTCTTTCTTTCTCTTTCTCTCCCTCCCTCCTTCCTTCCTTCCTCTCCTTCCCCTCTTTCCCAGCTCCTTCCTTCCTTCTTTCCTACTTTCCTTCCTTCTCTCCCTCCCTCCTCCCTCTTCTTCCTTCCTTCTCTCTCTCCCTCCCTCCCTCTCTTTCTTTCTCTTTCTCTCCCTCCCTCCTTCCTTCCTTCCTCTCCTTCCCCTCTTTCCCAGCTCCTTCCTTCCTTCTTTCCTACTTTCCTTCTTTCTCTCCCTCCCTCCTCCCTCTTCTTCCTTCCTTCTCTCTCTCCCTCCCTCCCTCTCTTTCTTTCTCTTTCTCTACCTCCCTCCTTCCTTCCTTCCTCTCCTTCCCCTCTTTCCCAGCTCCTTCCTTCCTTCTTTCCTACTTTCCTTCTTTCCTTCCTTCCTCTTGTTCCCAGCTCCTTCCTGTCATTCCCATCTTCTCTTCTTCCCTCCCTCTGCAGGAGACCTGGCTGTTCCACCCCCTTTCTTCCCAGTTTTCACTCCTCTTTTCTTCCAACCTTCCAGGCTCCATCCACCTGGACCTCAACTGCATGCCGAAGCCAAGCAAGACCGCCGAAAAATGCCAGTTGGACCTTCTGGAGATGCGGGGGAGGGAGGACTCGCTCTTTGAGCAGAAGACGGTCAAGGGCTGGTGGCCTTGTGTGACGGAGCAGGAAGGCATGAAGGCCCTTGCGGTGAGTCTTCTGACACTCCTTGTCCTGGGAGTGGAAGTACGGCACGGGTCTTCCTGCCCAAGCAGTGGGTTGGACTAGAAGACCTCCGAGGCCCCTTCCCTTCTCTCTGTCCTTCTGCATGTTCTGGAAGTCTTCTGCTTAGGCCCAGGACCAGTTTCTTTCCTTGGAAATGCCAAGAACGGGACCTTCTGTCTGCAAATGAGGTGGCCTCCCGGACCTTCTGCTCCACAACTGACCAATCCTCCCACCTCCAGGTCTTCAAAGGTGACCTCACCTTTCTCTCTCTCTTGCAGGGCAAGCTGGAGATGACCCTGGAGATCATCAATGAACAAGAGCATGAAGAACGGCCAGCTGGGCTGGGCCGGGATGAACCCAACATGAACCCCAAGCTGGAAGAACCAAAGTGAGAAGCCACCACGAGAGGCGGGAGGGGTGGTTGGGCTCAAGTTCTCTTCTTCTTGGAGGCCGCTGGAGAGCAGGAGAAGACTTTGAAGGGGGGATCTACAGTGAAGCAACTGTGGGTTCCAACAGATCCACGCTTGGGGAAGAGGGGAAAATGGAAAAAGAAAAGAACGCATGACAAGGATATCGCAGGATCCAACGCAGGGATGTCCAACCTTGGCCACATTGAGACCGGTGGGCTTCAACTCCCAGGATTCCCCGGCCATTGGGAGTTGAACTCCACCCGTCTTAAAGTCACCAAGGTTGGAGACCCCTAATCTATGGGGCTCCTGACTTGCCCCCATTTCCTTTCTAGGGGGGGTCAGAGACGTGGTGGTAGGAAGGGCTCGCTGCTAAGTATCAACCCCAGTCCTGGCACCCTGCCCATAACTGGTCCACCTTGGCCCCCTTGGTGAGGGGCTGCAGCTCCTGTGTTAGGCAGCGGTGGGATGCAACCGGTTTAACAACCGGTTTGTTGAGTGCGTGCCTGTGCCTTGGGTGTGCGCTCAGCATTGAAACCCCCCCCCATTTTAAACTTTCAAAAGGTACCTTCCATGTCAACCACAGTGAGTAAAACCACTGACATGCTGCGAGCCACTGCGTAAATTAGCTGAGCCAAAAACCATGGACATATAGGAGAGGAAAGGCCNTTCTGGGAGTTGAAGTCCACAAGTCTTAAAGTTGCCAAATTTGGGAACCACTGCTCTAGCTAATTAACGTTGCCTGTAGATGCCAGGTCGGTCCAAGTCCCCCTCCTCCCTCGGCCAGGGCCCAACTAAACCCCAGGTATGAGAGAGAGATGGAGTCAGAGGGACCAATCCTTAGCAAACCACCACAATAGACAGGAAGACGACGGAGAGACGGGTTGCCTTCTACAAGGATCCCACTCCTGTCACAAGCCACAGGCCCTGGGGCTATCTGCCTACAGAGTCAGGGAGCTGCATTCGAACCCACATCCTCGGCCAGGGACATTGCAAAGGGACCCCCCTAATTCATGGCTTCCGCTTTCATTACAGGGCAAAGTTCAGCTTTGGGTGGACCTGTTTCCAAAATCCCTTGGGCCACCGGGACCACCATTCAACGTGAGCCCGCGAAGAGCGAAGAGGTAACGCCCTTCCCCTCTCAGGCTTCTTCATGCAGGCCCCCCCCTTGGAGCCTGAATCTGCGGGGGGGGGGGAAAGATGAGCTGGGACCAGAGAGGGAGGGGCTTTGGAGGCAAAGGGGAAGGGCGGGGGCGGGGCCTTTCAGGATTGGGGTGGCTTACAGGCAGGGAGGAACAGGGGAGACCGAGCTCGGGCGAGGAGCAAGGACCTCCCCCTCCTGATCCAAGAGCAGGGAGAGTGGAGAGGACAGTGCGGGCTGAACAGGCTCCTCGGGAGGAAAGTGCCCCGCCCCTCTTCACAAGGCACACCTGGGGAATGAGGCTAAAGGAGCCGCTGTGGGGAGGGAGGGGGGCATTTGTCAGGAACACATGCTGAGTGCCACAATGCCCACTGAACTTCCCAGGAGTCCTTGCATTCCTTCTGGCATTCTGGACTAATTACCTGGATCTTTGAGTTCCCGACGTGCTTGATTTGCCAAGCAGGATTTATTGCTGTGCAGCCCCAGGGTAGGCAGCCAGGGGTTGCTTGAGGTGTGTGGTGTGTGTGTTGGTGTGTGGGGGGGGTTGACATCACTTTCCTCGGGGACTGGCCAGAAACGTGGGAGCCTTTGGGGAAATTTGGACTGTCAGCTGTTGTGTTATCTCCATTCCGGATCACCCCAGTAGCTTTCCCCATAATCCACTGAGTTCCTCAGCCTCGGCCCCTTGAAGATGGGTGGGCTTAAACTCCCAGAATTCTGGCCAGCTAGGGAATTCTGGGAGTTGGACAGGAAATGTCATGGACTGCCCTGATCTTTAGCTACGAAACAGATCCAAAGAACCTCGGAATTGGTTGCTCCGTTGTGGGTTGTCGTGAAGGACCCTCGTACATTTCTAGACTTGGGTTTTCTGCTCTTCTTCCCTCTTGAACTCCATCTCCCAGGTTCTACTTGCGTTGCATCATCTGGAACGCCCAAGACGTCATCCTGGATGATCTCAGCATCACCGGCCAGAAAATGAGCGACATCTACGTGAAAGGGTAGGTGGCCCAGAGCCTCTTTGGGACGAGGGTCCCTTCCCCTCTTCTCGTCCATGGAGACCCTCGGTCCTCCATCCACATCACAGTTATCTCAACGGGGTTTTCCAAAAAAGCAGCTGGACTTCCTTGAGTTTTTTCTTTCCTTGCCAACGTTTCTGCTCCTCGTCCAAGAAGTTCTGAAGTTCTCCTCCAAGGAGGGAAGAAGCTTCTTAGATGAGGAATGGGAAGCTCTTGGGGGGGCCCACTCTCTGACGGGCGGCTCCCGCCCTCCCGGTTCTGTGGCTGATGGGCCTGGTCTTCTTCTCTGGCCTCGCAGGTGGCTGGTCGGCTACGAGGAGAACAAGCAGAAGACAGATGTGCACTACAGGTCATTGGGGGGCGAAGGCAACTTCAACTGGAGGTTTGTCTTCCCCTTTGATTATCTCCCTGCTGAGCAGGTCTGCTCCGTGGCGAAGAAGGTGAGCGCCTGGAAAGGCCGAGGGGACCCTGGGGGGGGGGCTCCACGGGGGCTCCAAAGCAGCCGTGTCGAAGGCTGGGGGCTCTGGGGGAGTCTGGAGGGTTGGAGGGCGGGATCACTTCCCCAGCACTCATCCGCTCCCAATTTGATTTGGGCTCCCCTCATTTTATGACGAGATACATTCAAGTGTGTGAATACCGGTATGCATGCATGTATGTATGTATGTATGTATGTATGTATGTATGTATNCTACTCTACCCCATTCCATTCCATGCCATTCCCATTCAATTCTAAAGCTTCTTCTTGAATGAGAAATTAAAGGTTTTCAAGTGAAAACCCAAGAAATCCCTGTTGCCTTTGGAGAAAGGGCCTTTGGGACTTCAGCGCTTTCGCTGAGCCCTGAGCTCGGTGGGGCCTTCACCTTCCCTGGCAAGCCCTTCGCTCAACGGATGCGGGAGGGTGGAGCAGAGAGCGGGGTGCGGGTGAGTGTCTGTTTATTCTCAGTAGCAACGTGGCTCCCATCTATGGTTAACATGTGGCTTACATCAGTGTAGTTTTCATTTAACATGCGTACGGTACATGAAGTTGAGATGTGTCTATGGGGGGGATTCTTGAAGACACGTTCCTTAATCAAGTGGGTCCCAAATGGGTTGGACTACTACTCCCATGTGCCCCCACTAGCCCCAGCCAACAGGACGTTCAATGCATTCATGGGCCACCAGGTTGAGAAGGGAAGTTCTGGCTGGAGAATTCTGGGAGTTGAAGTCCCCAGTCTTAAAGTAGCCAAGGTTGGACACTCCAGTTCCAGATCTTTCCTCCAAGTTTCCTCTTTGGTTGCTTAGTTCTATTTGCAGGACCCCAGTAGAGGCACCCTGGAGTAGTCGTGAAGGACAGGAGAAGACCCAAGGGTGACTTGAGGCTCTTTAGTCATTCTCAAACCAGCCTGTCTCAAGAGACTTGCAGTCTGGACGTTTATGGTGGAAATATCTAAGGACAGTTTGTCTTGGCTGGTCCTCCCCTGCCTCTTCGGGGCCTTGACCCCCCCCTCGCTTTCTTTCTCGCGCACAGTGTGACCCTTACGTGAAGATTTCAGTGGGGAAGAAGTCCATCAACGATCAGGACAATTACATCCCCTGCACCCTGGATCCGGTCTTTGGAAAGTAAGTCTTCCCATAGGACAGTGTTTCTCAACCTTGGCGACTTTAAGTCCTGTGGACTTCAAGTTGCCAAGGTTGAGAAACACTGTCCTATGGGAAGACTTACTTTCCAAAGACCGGATCCAGGGTGCAGGGGATGTAATTGTCCTGATCGTTGATGGACTTCTTCCCCACTGAAATCTTCACGTAAGGGTCACACTGTGCGCGAGAAAGAAAGCGAGGGGGGGGTCAAGGCCCCGAAGAGGCAGGGGAGGACCAGCCAAGACAAACTGTC